GCTGCTTAAGCCATTGTGCGGGCCGGGGGGTACGCGGGTGGGGCCGCGGTTACTCATGGGCTCGTAACAGCCCTGCCATGTAGAGCAGGCGCTGTGTGTGGGGTGTGCGGAGGATCTGGGGTTGCCAGGGAGCCAGGCAGGAGGTGTCTGGGCCTACATAAATCAGACCCAGCTCCTTGCAAGAGGGGAGAAGGATGCAGCTGGATGAGGAAGGATTCACTATGAGGAAGTACTTAGGGAAAACCAGGGCCTGAAAGGGGCAGAAGAGACCCACATCTGCTGGGGAAAACCTCCTGGGTTTGGGGCGCGCTGGGCGCAGGCTAGGGGCTGCCTCCCCTGGAAACTGAGGCCTTGCCACAGAGGTAAGAGAATTAGAGGCCTTGGGTGTAGAAGCAGCCGGTGGATAAGGATTAGTCCATTAATGCCCACTTTGCACTCCCTGGGGCCAGCCAGCAGCTTATAATGCTCGTGACTGAAGTACTCCGACATGCCAGGAAAAGGGGCCGTATTCTGCCCTTAGAAGGTACAGCACGAAGTACCCGCCCCCCAACCCCCATTACACCAGCTCCTGCCCACTTGCCTCCCTGGACCAGTTCCTCTCCCGCCTTCCCCTCGGAGATGCTGCTGGTACTCGCCTCTCAGCTCCACTCACTTAACTACGCTAATCGACTCTCGTGAGACGGCCCCTCCCAGCCTGACTCCTCTCTGGCTCTTTCGCTGATAATTCCTCGGGGCGAAATGCCAGCCAGCCGGCCGATGACGTGGGCTAAGCTCACGAGACTGCTTTACTAGAGCGAATTATAAAAGCACCCAATGGGCTGGGTCAGACGGTTCTTTACACCCAGGTTTCTCAGCCAGTGGTCTGAGTACCCTGAGAGGTACTCAAGAGAAGTCTAAGGGGTACGTCAACACAACTGAAATTTGGAGAAAACTATTATTTTTGTATTTTTTACACCCAAAAATTTCATCGCCTGCCCGGCTGGAGCATATGACTTATGAGGAGAGGCTGAGGGAGTTGGGTCTCTTTAGCCTGCAGAAGCAAAGAGCGAGGGGGGATTTGAGAGCAGCCTTCAACTTCCTGAAGGGGGGTTCCAAAGAGGATGGAGAGAGGCTGTTCTCAGTAGTAACAGATGGCAGAACTAGGAGCAATGGTCTCAAGTTGTGGTGGGAGAAGAGCCCTCAGCTCCCGGCTCGCTTTGAAAAGGGCACTTGGGCGCTGAAGTGGCGTCACTGCTTTTGAAACTGTCCCCAGGCTGGTATCGGCCGAGCTCGCCCTTCCCCTCCCCTAGGGGGCCTTCCTGCTGC